GTGAATATTTCTGAGCACTTGAATGCAGCATATAAATCATGTGGCACTATTGTTACAACAGAACGGCAACTGAGAATCAGCTGTGTAAGAGAAATATGCTGAAGTGGCCCCACCCAGTGTCCATGCAGCTAATGCCCTGGGCAGCCAGCCCATGCCTAAGCACAATGCAGATATGAGTAGAGGCATGATGATACAATGCAGCATCTCACAGGAGAAGGAGGGAGAAGCAAAGGCCCATTTTCCAGCTTATCTATAGTAATGGATTTAAAGATAGCCCTGACATACAAGCTCAATTGATCAAGGCCTGTTCCCCATTTAGACAAGAGGTATTTACATTTCTTTTGCCAGTCACTGCAAAGCATTGTAAAGCACGTGCATATATTCATTATTAGAGGTACAACAGGGTGTTTTTCAACTCTTACCTACAAATGGAACTGCAAAGGGGCTTTGGGACAAACTCAGAGTTTAGGTTTTGCTTGTTTCTATTTATCACTTCTAAAGTGTTACATTCCATTTTTCCTCTCTATCCAGAATACTCCACATTATTCATTCATATTGTATATCAGCCTGTTCAACTTGACCCCTCTCAACATCTGATGCCAAAGCCTCTTCCCTGAGATTAAAGATAATGGAGTCCTAAAAGCAGTACTTGAACAAAGGTAAGGTAGATTGTCCAATAGAAACACAATTTCAAGATGAAGATGAAAATAGCAGCAAAGGGCAGCACACAGAAATTGCATCAAGATCATTAAGCTGGATGGATGTCTGGAAAAGACTTGAGAATTTTGGGATCTACTTTGTTTTTCCACTTGTAACCCAAGATATACCACCCTAAAATGGTGGGCACATCAGGAACCTGATGTAAAATGATGACTGAGTAGACAGAGCAACCCAAAACTATAGAACAGAATGACTTGCACATACATCCACAAATTTACATCCGTGTTACTACAGAACAGCAATTCTAACAGCCTAATTTATGTAAGCGAAGGGGAGGTGAGAGAGATGACTTTTGTTCACCAGTTTAGAATCAAAGAAATGGCAGCTTCTCTACAGTTGAGCTACTTAGCAATTTGCCAGCTGTTAACAAAGCAAAAGAGGAGACACAAGAAACCCTACCTGTATGTATCTGACAAGGCTGATAGTGCTGCCATCAATGAAATAATTGGCTGTATTGTTGAATTGTTGAATTAATGCTTTGGTGTTGATGATGATCTGCTGCTGATTATGGAGGCTTTGCCACCTTACAACATTAAGCAAACCTGAAAGAAGCTCACAAGATGCTAGGCACAGACCCAACTGCACAAACTCTTGCTAGAATATGAGAAGATTCAGTGATGCTCACAAGATGACATTGTGTCATTTGGTCCATTTACTTGCATTATGCAAAAAATTCAGAAAAGTGACAATGCTCATTGCATGTTCTAGCAACTAAGCCTCATGGTGCTGCTGTTGAATGTCTAATCAGCATAAGCTGAAGTCATGCAGTGATCAATAACCAAAAGATGACTTTCAGCTGGATCAGAAAAGAATACCCCAACAACTATCACAACAGATGGTGATGATCAGAGGATGTTAAAAAAATTGAAATGATGTGGTATGTATTGTGTGAGTATTCTTTACATTGATATAGTTGTCCTTACATTTGTACCACATGTGCCACTGTTCTATGCCTGCATATACTGTTGATACGTACCTGAGTTAATAAATGTCTTTGACAAGTCAAGCAGTTGGTCCCAATATATTAGTATGTTTAAGAAACAAGAACCATGTTTTATTTCTTTATCTTACATTCTTACCTATTTCTTGTGTTATTAAATATTCCCAACTGCACAAAAACTCAAGTTTCCACTGCACCGTCTGCATACCAACTGCATAAAATGTGTCCAGCTGCATATTAAAATAAAGCTTAGATTTGAGAGTGTAGCCTAGGGCAAAATCTTATGTGTTCTTTGAAAGGAAAAAAAACCCCTACAACTTTCTGTCAAAATAGGCATAAGAAAAGTTCCTGCTCATGGCTTCCTGTTGCCTTTTGTGCTACTACATAAATACCATCTCCTCTCTATTTCTCTAGCAGTTGCCTCCTCAAGTATACACTCACTATGCTGGGAGAGATAGCTGAGTTTGGTTGAAAGGGACTGCTAGGCGGCTTTGGTATACTGAACTTTTTGGATAATCAGCATCCTACCTGTTGATCAAGGGACACTGCAATGTGGGTTCTGTAAAGGCATAATGGGAAAAGTCTCATTTTGTTCGCAAAGTATAAAATTAATATATGTGGATTGAGATGCATTTTGATTTTAATTTTTATTATTTCTAAGGGGAAACAAGCACTTTCCCCCTGCATCCACCTGCATCTTTGGACTGCAAGTCCCATCTACTGGCTAGGCTGGCTGGGAATGATGAAAACTAGTTCACAACATCTTGAGTAGTGTTTCCAGCTGAGTGCCCTGCAGATGGTTTGATCTACAAGTCCCAGAATTCCTGACCAAAAGCCATGTTGCCTAAAGCTAATGAGAGTCAAAATGCAAAACACGGAGGCCACCAGAAGTCTGATTTAAAGGGACACGGGAGAAAACCTGGAAAGTTGCTCTGTATTAAACCCACTATGCATCTTCTGCAAGTGTTGATTCATATAATTCATAAAAAAACTTGATACAATATCCATACTTACAAATGCTCGAGTTACATCCAAAATAAAAACACATGTAAACATTTTATAGGTCATTAATTTGCGAAGCTCAAGGGCAACACAGGATTTTATTTTGACTTTGGGTGCACAATTATTTTATTTCCTGCTAGGATTACATAATGTGATCCATTGTGCCCTCTACTGTCTGGTTTATAGTATTTTGATTAGTTGCTACAAGAAATGTCTTAGCTTTTATTTTCTACATATGTAGCATTTTAAAATTACTTTACAAAACATCATTTTATAGGAACTTAGGTTGTGTAAGTACTAATCAGGACTCATGGTTCCTTGATTCCACTGTTGTTGTTGTTGAATTGGTCATTCTCTCTCTCTCTCTCTCTCTACCAGCCCATCTCTTCTATTTATATATTCTTTTTCTGCTTCAATTTTTTCATTTAATTTTCTCATTCTGTCCAACATTCTACACTATATTCCCCTGGATACTGAAAGCTGGAATATGGCAATTTTTGCTTAGTTAATAAATCTATGATATGACTCCAGCAAATCTACCAGCACACGGAAAGGGAACTTGCACATAATGGCATCCTCATTTTGCAATTTCTTGCCCCAAAATTTGCTGTGATTTCAGCTGGAGATGATTTTTAACTTATCTTACGGTATTTTATTTAGTACAGGTGCTGCTTTCTACCATTTCCTCTGCTTTCTTATTTTTTAGGTTTTGATCTTAACTCTAAAGCCTACTGCTATACCTTTGCTGTTTTTAACTTGAACGGCAACCTGGGAACTCTTTGGATCTATACATGAGGGTTTTCAGTATCAGTAAATAAATAATGGTGCAACGCTATGCATGTTTAGACAAAAAAACCCTACAACTCCCAGCATGGGCGGTGGTTAATTTAGTTTTAATTGTTTTAATGATTTGCTGCTGCCATTTTATGATTTTAGCTGCCAATTTTTATTTGTATCTATGTATAATTTTATTTTACTCAAGGATATTTTAAATGGTTTGATTTAGTAAGCGTTCAATTTTTATGTCTCCCTTTCTATCAATTTTCTATATTGTTGTTTCTTTGTGTTGATAAATGCATTGTTAATTGCATGACATTAAAAGAGAGACTTAAGGCTAAGTGTTGCAGCCTACAAGTCAAATAAACAAATAAACAAACATTTGTTAAAATTCCACAGCCAGACATTTAAATCAACTTTAGACTAGTCATACTTAAGCCTGATCCTAAACATCTTTACTGGAGGCAAAGTCCACCGATTTCATACTTCTTCCAAGTATGCATATTCAGGATTACATCCTTGAGAACTCCTTCTTTGTGATGCATTATTTTTAGATCAAGCATAACCTTCCAGCAGAGCACTGTGTCCCATCAGTGCTTTATTGCACCATCTGTGACAACTCTCTCATCTGTTCCTTCAGTATTTGGTTTCAGAGAAAGACAATCTGAAGACACAAATGCAAATACATTTACAGTCATAATTGTCTGCAATTAAATTTTGCTGCTTCAGGTTTTTCTCCAATTGTCCAGATGAAAACAAGGCTTTGCTCAGGTTCTCAAAATACTACTTTGGTCCAGAACCTTGCACAATTTCCCATCTGACCTGTTTATTTTTCCCCAGTCTTCTCATACTAAAATTGCATCCTGTACCTTGTACACTATTGGATAATTCTGGGACAAGCTTTTTCTTTGCCAATATTTGACTGATTGAGAGCAATGCTCTGGTTAGCAGGGCCCACTTGCCCCAGTACTTGGCTGCCTGAAGTAAAAGACAATATGGCACTCCCCCCTTTTCAGGTATAGACGTCAACTGGATTGGCAGCTGAATCTTATTTCAATGCAGGAAAGCATCTTCTACCATGCCTCACTGCAGCAAGCACACGAGCCCTGTTCTCCAACAGAAGGGGATGGCTAGACTAGAGGAACAGCCACTGTGCTGCCACAACTGCTGCCTGAAGCAATCATCTCAGTCCACCTAAGGGTAAGATCGGCCCTTTTATTGTGCTACCACCCTCCCATAGAGGACCTTCTACCTGCGGCAAACTAGAGAAATTTTGCATTTGCCTTGCCATTTTCTTCCTAGGGATCCAGGGACTGGCAGTCTTGGTTGTATCTCTAGCAGGAGAAACTGTTCCCTTAGACACTCCAGTCTAGGAGAAGACCATCTAGACTAGTTGCTGGGCCCTTAGGCAGCAGAGGTGGTAAGCTTGTCCAGTCTTCTTTGCCAAAAGTCTGCTTTGGATCATTCTAGACTTCCTGTCCTTTGCTTGTCTGTAAAATATTCTTTCAGACTTCATGTCTGGAGCTACAGAATTCATTCAGGAAAACAGGTGAAGACAAAGCCAGGGCCAGACATTTTATTGGGGACAATTTCTCACAAGGAAAGCACAGTCCAGGCAGATCTATTCAACCAGCAGAACAGAGCATGAAGGCCTCAAAGTCCGAGGTCTCCCTTTCCAGAGTGGCTTTACACGGTGCATCTTTGTGTGTGGGGTCCGACAAAGCAGGTCATCCAGAGTCAGAGGTGTTAGCTGTCCCAAGGTTTGCAGCTTGGCAAATGTTTCTTCAAACCGGACACAAAGGCCTGGGTCATTCTCCAGCTTCTCCCTGGCTGTGGACAACTAGGAAAAAAATCCCAGCAATCATATCAGTACCTGTGGACTAAAGTGCTACTTTCTATATTTCATTAACTGAAACATGACTACATGGAGATTGGATACCCTCCTAAAAGTAACACTGCCCTTTTATTATGATGCTACAGAACTCCTCTCTGTTTTATGTTCTCAGCTGTAGCCATACACATCACTCCTTGGGACAGAAAACTACAAGCTGATCCCCAGGATCTATATTTCGAAGGAGATGGGTGTTGGACCTCTTTAGTCTGAAGACCAAATTCCATTTGGAGAAGCTCTGGGGGCCTGCACATCAGTGCTGAGTAAGGCAGAGGCTGGGCCAAAAATACCAGCATATTTCTACCTAGGGGAAGGTCCACAGCTTGGTGGCACAGCAAAGTCACGCGTTCTATCCTAGACATCTCCAGGAAGAGCAGGAAAACCTCTTGGCTGAAACCCTAGAGAGTTTCTGCCAGTCAGTGCTGACAATCCTGAACCAGATGGACAAAGAGACTGAATATAACGCAGTCTCCAATGGTCCTTACTTAGTTATTGGTTACTATACATTAAGAGAAGCATTTTGGCCTTTCAGAAGGGGGGAGGGACTGCACAAACCTGGGAAACCACTAAATGATTACTGGCTGAAAGAATGGGGATGGCACCAAAGAAAGGGGACACCGCTGCCTGGGAAACTCTGGAGGACCAGAATGAGAACACAGGCTGGATATGGCCCCTGGGCCAAAGATTCTCTACTTCAGCACTAAAGGATGTTCTTAAAAAGCATGTTATGAAGTGTACACCAGTACATTCCCAAGTATACCTTAGCTGATACTGAGTAATAAGAAATGAACATGATCAGCAGTGATGCCCAGCCATTCCCAAGCAGTAAATGTGGATCCATCCAAAAGATAAATAAGGGCTGTTCCTGTGCTTGGTTACTCTGGGATTATAAACTACAAGTTCATTTTTAAATTATTTCATTTTACGATCCATGATGTTTACTGTTTTCATTGTCATTTAACCTGAGCTGAAAGACCTGTGTAGTAAAAGGATTGTTAACTAAAATAGGAAGCATTCACCAAGCCATAGAGAGGCACATCGGAACCTGTGTAACCCAAGACAATCAGCAAGGAGATGTGACTGAAACAGTCCACTGCTACATGGAGAGGTTTAGTCTCAGGATTATGCCCTCTCCATCTTGAGGGTGTTCCCAAGAAGTCATCTCCTGGAAACTATCCATCCATCCATCCATCCATCATCCATCCATCCATCCATCCATTTAGACCGCTTATATGCCGCCCCCATTGCATAAGCCTCGGGGCGGCTTACAATCATAAAATCCCACATATAAATACAAAAAAATTCATCGAATAAATAAAATACTTAAAATAAAATAACTATGAGGTATAAGAGGCTGGCAGGCATCTAGAGTTGTGTTGCTTCACGCTACCGTGCCAACAACACTGCAGCAGTCACAGAGACATTCCAAAAGAGTTCAGAATAAACAGCCAATGCATTCTGCAGTCCTCTTGTGCAACAAGAAAGGCTACAAAGGTCATGTTTTATCAGTATTGTTAGGATCAAGGCTCCTCTGGGGCTCCATCTAGTAGTCAGAAGCAGAATACGCAGGACTGGCTCCAGGTTCTACTAGAACTCCCCGCCTCCCGAGTCCTTACTGCCTTGTCTCAGCAACACAGGTTCTCCAGTTTGCTGTGGACCTGTGCCTGCATCTGGTTCCTGCCTTGCCATGCTATGCCCTTCATTGCTGTATCTTGCCTTGCTGTCTTCCCTCAGCAATGCAGGGCTTCCTGCTAGCTGTGGTTCCGCTCTTGCATCTTGCCTGACCCTTGCTGCATATTCTATCCAGCCTCAAGCTACCTGCACTTCTCTTTGTCTGCCTGGTTCTTCACCCTTGGCTTGTTCATGAGCATGCCTTTGTCTCGCCCTGATACATACATCTAGTTCCTGACTTCAGCCTGTTCTGTGACTATGCTGCTCTGGTCCTGGTGCCTCTGTCTTATCTCCTGCTGTTCACGCCCTGGCCCCCAATAAATATATAATGGAAAATTGATTTTGCGGGATCCTAGAAGCACATGATAAGGGGGAAAGGGTCTAGCTGCTAGAAGAGCTTATTTTCACACACTGGTTTCCACAACAGCACTCCACTTACCACTGATATTGAGAACTCAGGTTTTTTCACACAAACTGAAGCTCTGGTTTTTGAAATGGCTTCCAGTGATTTAACAAGGCCTTCTAGGTCTCCAGATGCCACCTGAAGAAGAATCTTGCGGAAAAACACAACTAGTGAGAAACACTTTCCTAAGCTCTGGCAGGGAGAATATTGGATAGTGAGGTAGATGGTAACCTTGCAGAAATCCTGTCCTGTCTTGCATGCCTAACGTCAGTGGTAGACACTTAAAACAAAGCTTCATCAGGCCTACTCAGCCACAATTAAGCTGTATTATTAAATGATCTGGCATTGTTAGCAACTCAAGGAGGTACCCAGGATGACCACCAACCTCCCCAGAACTGGAAAAACCAATGTCATCCCAATGGCTCACCTTTATGGTTCATCATTTTTATTGTACTAGCCACTGGCCTTGAAAGTTTCCAGATGATCTTCCCACATAGTCCCAATCAAAAAAGTTCCATTAAATTTGCCATGCAGAATCTTTCAGCCTTCCCAAGTTTGTATAAAATTTCACAATAAAAACAAGCAAACAATAAAACTGGTCATGGGAAGGAAGGTACTCATACAAAGGAAAAAGAAGTACCAACATCCCCATTATTATTGTTTTCCTTGAAAAGCAGTGCAGAAACACCTTAAATAAGTTATTCTAAAGAAAAAAACAGATTTGTATGTGGGATATATATCAGTATTCTTTAGCTGACTCCCATATTTCTTGAAACCTATGTAGTCAAGAGGACAAGGAAGGCATATGAAATAAAAGGTAGGTTGGTGGTGGGTAAGCAGGGAAGAAAGGGTACAGGCTTTGTCCTCAGCCAAGCAGTAACTCTACTGATTGCAGCCTGCCTATGCCAGGCAACCCTCTTTTCCTACCACCAGAAACATTCAGCAACTCTTGCCCTTAGGTTAAGATTCTTTAATAGCTCCTGCTACTTTCACTGGTTGCTCCCTTCAGCAGCATCCCATCCATCTGGCTTCCTTTTCTTTAGGCCTTTGGGCCAAATAACTCCTGTCCTCTACCTGTTGTACCTTCAAGATCCTGTTTCTCAGTTTCTTTCCTACATTGCCACCTTCCTTTCACCACTGCACATCTGGGATTCCTGCCCCCTAAACTACTTGCCACAAGGGACTTCATTTTACTATGCTTTTCTAGCTCAATAGTCATTCTTAGATCTATGGGCTGGGACAATTTTTCTAAACCAAGTGGTTTGCTATCCTGACCAAAGGCTGAGGGATGCTAACATGCTCTGACTCATAAGCTTGATTCTTATGGAATGTTTTGTTTACAGAAAGTTTTGAGAAAATTCAGTTAGTGTCAAAAGCTTCACCTACACATAACAAGTTCTACACTTTAACCATCAGCTAGTCGAAAAAAAAAAAGTGAAGAGTGAAAGAGTACGCAATTTATACCCTTTTAAGCAGCAAACATAAATTCTATTTAAAACTAAGAACAAAACAAACCTCTGGTATTATTTCCAGATAAGTGTGGAACAGAACAGTATGTGTCCTAATTTTTTTCATGGCAGTGGAAAAATTTCCTTAAAACAAAACCATTTTTTCATGGTTTATGCCTTACCCACAAAATTCAGACACTTACTTTCAGATTAGAGCATACCCTACTTTCTGTGCTCATGATCTGAGAATAAAAGGACTGGGCTTTCATGACATCATTCTGGAAGGAAGAAACAGAGGCAATAATCAAACTATTTCTATCAATAAAGCATTACTTAGCATTTCATTTTACTCACTTGTAAAATCACCCAATAAGATATTTACTCATCCAACCACACATTCATAGTTCAATGAATACTGGATGGCTTCCCATTGCAAGAGGAGCTACTAGAACAAATCAAGACATGGACAGCCATCTGAGTGAGATAGTATAAACTGGTGTTCTGCAATAACAGGGAGTAGGACCTGATGGCTTTCTGGCCCCTTCCAACTCTACTATTCTATGATTCTATGATCCGAGGCAAAAAAATTCTCAGCATACATTTTATCTCCAGAAACATTCCAGAACATGTTCCAAGGACAAATACCTCTTCTCCAGTTAGCCTGAGTTAGTATTATTTTAAGATACCCGTTGATGCGATGAGATGCAGAATATGCGCATGCATGCACAGAAAATATACATACATAATGTAAGAAAGGATGCTACAGAGCAAAATGTATCATAGAGCAACAGTGCGTAATTTTTATGTTCTTGTTGGCAACTGTATTTTTCAGGTACTAGTCTGGGTCATAAAATCATGCTCAGATTATGTAAGTCAAATTGGCATTATCTAAAAGTAAGGGCTTCTCAGCTACACAGCACATGAACTTGAACTGTTTAAGATCTTCAACTGGGAACCGAGGGCCAATTTGCATTTTCAGGCTTCTCCTTAAGGGACCAACTGGCCATGGGACTTGCCCTTCTAGAAGGTACCTGAGATAACAACAACAGCAACAACGTTAAAAGATTGCTAAAGCCACAATGAGAGCAGATAAAGATGCTTCAGCGTAGGGAAATTTGAGGAACCCAGTAGTGCAATGTTAATTGTATGGTTTATCATGACTCATTCCGCTGGACTCTGGTTCATTAGCCCTGCGCTGTCCTGCTACTGACTTCCTGTGACTGAGTCAAGTAGAATTGGCCAATTTGCACAAATTGGCTGAGTTCACATAAAACATCCTAGAGCCACATAGTTTTGGGATGCTTATTTGTGCAAGTGTCATCTGCAGTTTAAAAACACACAAATTGCACTCCATGTTAAAGACAGAAGTTCACAACAACACCCCTGATTGGCTTGGAAGTAGCAGTAAATCATCAAGTTCAAACAAGACTGACTATTCTAGTACATCCCTGTATCAGAGACCACTTCTGGCCCAATGCCTGCAAACGGGACATCCCTGTGCCACAGAACATCCCATCTGTGTTGACTGCCTTTCTCAGCATTGTCAAATGGACTGGCTACATGAGCTTCTCTTGTGAATGGCTATTTTTCATTTCTCTCTGAACAAAATAAAGTTAGCACCACAAGGAGCCCGTTCCTTCCCGTAAAACATGTCAGGAAATCTCACAAGTATTTATAGAGCATTCATGTATTAAAAAGTCTTCCTAGATATGGGAACCTAGACATGTTGTACAGTGCATGCACAATTCATAGTAACACAGGTAAGAAAGCCAAAGAATCCAAGCACCTGTTTCAGAGCAGATGCTACTGCAAAGCAGAGTGCTCTTCTTGGCAACTGTTCTCCTTTGAGCTGTGCCTCTTCAAGTAATGTAGTACAAATTTTGCAAGACTCCGAGCTGTTCTGTGGAATGGAAGATTTCAGTGCATGTGTGATTACAATTCAGACATGTTATAAGGAAGCGAGGACCTAACTGAATGGCCAACTGCGCACTGGAAATTTTACAACCAACCTTTGAAATTTTACAACCGACAAAGAATCCACCAATAAGAAATAAAAATGAAACGAACATTTGTACATATTTCCCTCAAAAGGGGGAACTCAACATATATTCCAAAACAGATGAGGCATTTCTACAGCCATTGAGAAAACTAAAATTCAGAAAATACAGAACCACTTATTTTCCAGAATTCTCTTCAAAACATATGTAAGTCTCTCCTTACAAGCACGGAGAGATGTATTCCCAAATAGTTAAGATACTTTTAACTGCTGAAAACATGTAATTTGATATATATATATATATATATATATATATATATATATATATATATATAAAAAAAAACCTAATGTTCTTGAAGTATCAGGAAAGGGGACATTTTTAGATCCATGTCAAAACATGGAAAAGAACGTTTGCTAGTAACTGGCACTAAATCACAGAGTAAACCCAAATACTTGAAAGCTGGTGTGTTGGGTTGTGAGATCTCTATTAATTTTTCAGGAAGGTGTTTCTGGCAGTCAAAAGGAGCATAGGAGCATTTAGCTGCCAAAAGGAGTATCTCTATCCTAGTGGAATGAAAGCTTCATGAGTTAATAAGAAATGCTTGGAGTCAGCTCTTTGTATCAGTCAAAACCTAACTGTTTGTCACATATATGACAAACTGGATGAGAGCCAATAAACTGAAGATCAATCCAGACAAGACGGAGGTCCTGCTGGTAGGTGTTTCGAGCTCCTGGGTAGGTGACTTGGATCTTGTCCTGAATGGGGTTTCACTCCCTCTAAAGGACAGGGTCCGCAGCTTGGAAGTGCTCCTCGACCCGGAGCTGACTTTGGAAGCTCAAGTGTCGGCAGTGAGGAGCAGCACTTTCCATAAGCTTCAGCTGATCCATCAGGTGCGTCCCTACCTGGATGACGACTGCCTAGCGACAGTGACGCAGGCATTGGTTACTTCCCAGTTGGATTTCTGTAACGCGCTCTACGTGGGGCTGCCCTTGAAGACAGTCTGGATACTTCAAATGGTGCAAAATTGAGCAGCCAGGTTGCTGACGAGGACTGGGTGTTATTCTCATATAACCCCAGTCCTCTACCAGGTTCAATGGCTTCCCATCGAAGTCCAGGCACAATTCAAGGTGTTGGTAATTACTTATAAAGCCCTTAACGGCTTGGGACCCAGACACTTGAAGGAATGCCTGCAGCCATATTTGCCCTCCTGCCCCTTGAGATCGGCAGCAGGGGCTCTCCTCTGGGAGCCTTCCGTAAGAGGTATCAGGAAGCAAAGTACCTGGAGGAGGGCCTTATCTGTGGTGGTGCTCCATCTGTGAAATGCGCTCCCCAGAGGTCCGCCTGGCACCGTCGTTATTTGTTTTTCGGCGCCAGGCCAAGACCTTCTTATTTAAACAGTATTTTAATAGTCTTTAATACTTATAGTTTTAATTATGCAGCCAGTGTGTTTCCAAGTTTTAATTTTAATTATAATTTTATTTGTTTTATTTATTTGTGTTGTGAGCCATCCCGAGGCTGTGTAGCAATGGGGATGGTATATAAAAACTTTAAATAAATACATATAAAACTGGTTAAGCAACAGACTGCAGTGGCTGTGAATTCCCAAACACACACTTTGTAATGAGTCCAACTAAACCCAGGGAGGCTTTTACAACAACTGAAGAGGAACTTATTCATGCATATTGTAAATTTTATGCCAGCACTGACAACCATCAAGTAGTGGAGTGGTATCCAAATGCACTTAAAAATGTATTTCCTGCCATCCGAATAGCTCCCATTTTTATAGGATTTATCTTAAAAATGTCCATGCTTCATAAATGATGCTTGTTTGGGTCTAAAAATAAATAAACCTTTGTATTCAGTTGCCTTATTTATTATAGAGAAGTCTTTAACTGTTGCTGGTTGTCATTTTACCAATTTTCATTAATTGCATTGTTTACCCCAGAAATGTGTGCTTAGAATGAAGGATACATATTGACTAAACAAGGAAAGATTGAACATATCATGACTACTGAAAAGAGGATTGAGAAAAGCACCCTGTTAGGTCTTGCAGTGCAAAAGCATTCTCAATGACAAAAAAACTTAGAAACATCTTGTAGGGCATGTGTATTATTACCAGTTTGTAGCACACTGCAAATGCAAGTATGTAGGTCTCACTGTTGAATCTTACACCTTGATTCTTCATTTCTAACAGCACCTCCAAAGCACCTGTAGAGCAAGACTTTCAGTTAGGGTTACTTCACTATGTTGTGATAGTTACGCACGGATTGCATTAAACTTTAGTTCACTCTACCACAAGAAAAAAGTGCTAAGGTGTTTCAGAAATGTGTTGCAGCAGAGATTTAAAAACTCCTAGGCTCCCAAAAGAAAATAGCTACACATCTGAGATCAAACATAAGAGAGAACAATTAAAAATCCATAAAAACCTTTATGATTACATGTAATGAAAGACAGCACGTGCTTACTGAGGACACAGTTAAGAGGGCATTTTTAAATGTATTTGCCAAGTGTGCCACATCTTTTTATAACTTTTCTTTTTAAATCAAAGAAGGACTTGCTTTGCCCAAAGACCCAATGATTCTATGTTAATTTTAGCTTCTGGATATTATTACACTGAAGAACGTTTGCCATAAATTAAGCATTCTTTTGGCGAATAAGTTACTTTTGGAGAATAGGTTACTTACATTCATAATGACCATTCTTAAATAGCATATCCATCAAAATATTGAATGATGTGCTGTCTGCAAAGAAGCCATGCAGCGCCTGAAGGGAAAAGAAAAGAATGAGTTTGAAAAAACTCATAACCCAATGGCCAGGTTTGCATGAGGGAAGAAAGAAAAGCTACAGTGGTGTTTTTCCTTGCCTTGCTCAAGCACTGTCTTATTTCTACAATTACCTTCACCAAGAACAGGTTGTCATGATTACTCCCTACTCCACAATCCATAGCTTGTTCCAGGGTTCCCGGGAGTCTGAAATCCAACCTCACTACTAATCCTCACTGGGCTTGGATGTCACAGCACCCTGCACCAGTAACTATGAAAATTTAGGTGGTGTATGACATACATAAGTAAGGGAGGAAAAAGAAGCCACAGTTGCTGTTTTTCCTTCCTTGCTCATGCAAACCCATTGATACTGGCTACCCAGATTACGTATTGAAGCTGATGTGCTTGGACAAACTTGTACATAAAAATCCAGACCTAATATTTTAACTTCCTGTTGAAGTCCTATAGAAGCCTACAAGAAAGAAGAAACTATTATTCCTCACAATAAAATGGAACTATATTTAATCACTCCCTCTTACCTTCAGGATCAGCTGTCAGTGACTACAAACAGTTATGGTAGAAAGAAGGGCCTGAAATCCCTCAAACTATGCATAGAAAACCACACACAGCACTGCCTAAGGATCCCAGTCTTAGGCAGCAATGCTATACACTATTTCCATTGAATAGGACTTTCTGAATAGACATATGAGGATTGTCCTTTCACTCCACAGACTAAAGGGGGAAAGCAATTTAGAGTGCAGTCCTGTGGATGTTGAGACAGAAAAAAGTCCTACACCTCCCAGCATCCTGCAATGTAGCTAGGGGATGCTAAGAGTTGGAGGATTTTTCCCCCAACATGCATAAGATTGTTCCCTTACTTACATACAATGAATATACATATGTAGTGATTTTTCCTAGGAATAAAATACAGACCAGATCCATGATTTTTCAAAAGAAACCCAAAAAAACAAAAAACCCTTTTCTAAGCATGGAGAAGGCGCACAAGTGAAACTGAAGCTTTGTTTGAAGTTCTTTTTATTTAGAAATGGCAGTACTAAACAATACTAGGTTCTTCCCTCCAGTGGTTGTTCATAATTCTCTAACATGGTGCCCTCAAAAAGTTTTACACAATAACCTCCAGAATAACTGGCTATTGGCCTGGGATTGAGGGGAGTTGTAGTTATAGTCTGGGAGTTGTAGTCTAAAACATCTGGAGGGCGCATGGTTGAGCCAAAGCTGCAAAAAAGAAGCACATGAACAACCTAGAATAGTCAGGAAAGAGATACAGCCAATGCACCCTGACATTCCTTGCTCATAAAGGTAGGACTGTTGCCTCAAGCTAGCAATTTTGAAATACAACAGGACCCCCATATCCACAGGAGGTAGGTTCCAAGGCCTCCAGCAGATGCGTGAAACCATGGATAGTAGTGAACATTACATGTATGGGGTTAGGGGTGCAGGACACCCACAAAAGGGGAAAAACTGAGAATATTTCTAGTGAAAAACTGTAAATATCTCTAGAGTCTTTGAGCTCACTGAGAGACAAAGCATGTGAGTGAGGTTGGTTAGTACTGAGACAGAGTGTGGTGTCTTCAAACAAAGTGCATAGTTCCTTAGAGATATTCACATTTTTTTTCCATTTTGTGGCAGTCCTGTGCCTCAACCCATGTGAAAGTGGAGGGCCAATGGTCAACCTTGAATCCACAGTAACTGAGACAGTGGATACTGGGCTCCTCCTGTATTATAATAGTATAAACTAGTCCTCACGATCACAGATAAAGAATATTGTTGTTCAGCTCATGCGATGATTCATTTAGGACTTTAAAGAACTGAGATGCATTCAAAGTGGGAGAATGAGGTATGGAGTAGAATACAGCTTTCTAAGAGCCTGCCAAGGAGGTTGATCCCTTAACACACTTCTACTCCCAATTCATGACCTGAATGTGTAAGTCAATCTGAGACTAAAGCATGTGCAGAAGGTTGTGATCTCTCAATAACTGATAAAATAAACAGGTCCAAAGCTTTGTTCAATATCAACTAAACAGCAAAGAAGTATTTAAATATTTGAAAACATATTCATGTAGTATAAGCCAGGAACATGAAGAGTTGAAGATACCAAGCAGGACATAAGTTTTGCTAGGAACCTTTCCTGTTAAAATAATCATTTCCAATAAAACCCAAGGGTTTTATGGAAGTATCACAAATTTCAAGGGGCTTGCAAGGGAAAACATTTATTTTGGATTAACTAGATGAAAGAGACAAATTGAGTTTTTCAATTTTACCTTGTCTTTAATGAGTTCTAAAGCAGTTGATTCAAGGTTCAGTTCATAACAAAGTCTCATAAAAAGGGGGCCAAATCTGAACTCCAAGGACACATTTCTGTTATCGGCATGGTACCTGAATAGGAAACACAGGTTATTTTGGTCTAGTTTTGAAGAGCAAATGTATGAGAAAGACAAAAAACAAATGCGAAATGGAATTCTTCTAAGACATGGGAGCCTACATGCATGGGAAGTCTTCCCACTTGTATATGATGACTGGAAAGCCAACAAAGACCACTGCATGGGAGTACTTTTAAGTACAAAACAATGAAATGTTAAGAAGAATATGACTATATAAGACTATATCTTCCAAAATTCATCCTTCTCTCTGTCATAATCTGCTTCTGGCTGAGGCTTTGGTTGCACCTCTGACTCATTCATGGAATTTTATGTTGGGGGAGGGGTGTCAGCCAACATTGCCTTCCAATTCCACTTTTTCCTACTGCTTGTTCAATCTTGCAGTAGAACATCCATTAAGGAGAAAACCCCAAATAACTGCAATCTTCCCTCTGAGTGTAGCACCAGGAGTACGCTGTCTGGAAGCACCTATAGCCCTAAATTGGTCAACTTTGGTAAACAGCATAAGGTTCTAATTTTCTTCCATTTACTTGTTTTGTGTTTCACAATATTTCCATGCAGTTGGGAAGTGCCAAATTGAACATTTAGCAATTTCATTTTCTCAGACATTCAGTGTGGTTCTTTAAAAAGCTTGCAATTCAAGTCGTTCCTTGGCTAAATCAACCAAATGAAGTGCTTTGTTGGTCCTATGAGAAAAGTGTATTTCCCTCTGAGCAAATACAGTGGTACCTCAGCTCATGAACTTATTCTGTTCCAGGACTCTGGTTGCGACTCAAATTGGTCATGAGCCAAGTCAAGTTTCCCCATAAGGTTCAATGTAAATAAGGTTAATTCGTTCTGTAAATATTTTTTAAATCACAAAAATTTGAAACAAAGTAACAAAGAACAACAAAGCAACAAAGTACAGTACAGTAGAGAACACTAACCTAGGTGCGGGGGGGGGGGCGGTATTTTTTGGAGGGAGAGTCCAAACCATAATCGTGTGATCGTGGTCGTCACCCAACGCAGAGTTTGTCAACTGAGGCAAAATTTTTCTGAAATTTCTGATTTGTTCATGAACAGAGGTGTTCGTGAGCCGAGGTACCACTATACAAAGATGTCCAACCTGAATAGGTAGCCATAAGCAAAGCAGTTTACATTATTTAGCTCTCAGGGCCTGTGAGGTAGGCATGGACTGACACTTTTCAAGTATAACATAATAAGGACCAATCTCATTAAAAGTGTTCCACTCCTGTCACATGGTCTGTTTATTTTCAACTAAAGCAAACACAAATGAAATAACAACACAATAATTTAACAAATGTTACCTGTATACAACTTTTTTGGCTAGCTCAACGTCATCGCTTGTTTGGCAAAGATGTAGTACTGTTTTCAATTCATCTTTGAAAATTAGTCTATTTTTTGTCAACTTTTTTTCAATTGTTCTGAAATATTCATCTGAAATGGAGTTGCAATATATTTATATTGGGCTGATATTCAAGCAACAATATCACCTTGCAAACCACTTACTGCACTCCTGACTGCATTAGTTCAACAGCACGCTGGGATGAGCCCACCCCCGCACCCACATGGCATCACTGCTATAACCAGGACTTAAGCAGAATGGCCACTGCTGGGACAAGCATAGTCCCAGATCCCGATGAATAATATCCTTTAGGCATGATATTGCCTTTAGTAGATACAAACTTGGTCCTGTTCCCCAACCAATCCCAGTGGATGAAGATGGGTAGATTCCTAACGAACATTTGCTTCAAGACTAAAAGGGAAATGTCTGTTTCCAAAAGGGGCGGTGAGGTTAAATTCAGTCCTACTTAGGATTCAGCCAGGAGGAGGACTAAGCTTACTTCTGCTCTCAAATTTGTGAGGACTTGAATGCTGAAATGGGGCTCAGAATGGAAGTTCTGCAGAAGGGATGATGAATTTACGGTCCGGGCAGGATCACACTGATATGGCTGGCAATGTTTGAAATTATTTATAAGTTCCAGTTGGTCTGTTTCCGTGGCAGTCCCTTTGAATTGTCCCTTGGTATTTTAAGTTACTTGACTCAGAATGGGGAAAGTACGATTGACTGATCATTGATTAGAAAGTGATCATTTACCTCTCAAGATTGGATTGCAAAGTATTAAAACAGAAGGCGTTTTTCAGGGTGGGAAGTGAATGTATACAATTATTTTGCCTTAGTTTTTGTTTTATTTTGGTGGTATGTGCTTTGCTTGGAGTGTGCATGTGCATGTGCCTTGCCTGGTTTCTCACCGAGTTTGCTATATGTGCAGATAATATGCATTGTCTGTTTTCTGTGGATGTTTTCTTGTGTGCATTCCTCTGCACATTGTCAGCTTGTCCATTACAAAAAGGCATTTTGTTATGCTTTATGGAGGCAAATAAATGCTTTGATATTTGGGGCATGGATTACTATCAGACTTCACAACACTAATTTGCGAATGCCTGGTAGAGTATATACATGAAAGGAATACCTTTTTTGCCTTGTATGCTAAATCCAGCTTCCAGCTTCTTCTGCTGAAATTCTTGTAATTGCACAATATTATCAGTTAACAAACAGCGCTTTGCTGAAAATGGAATAGAAAAAGAGAAATGTAAAATATTCTAGATACTTAAGTAACAACAATAAAGTAGAATTTATTCCAATCTTGTACTATGTAAAAGAATTCAGTGTTTTAAATAATACATCCATACTTTGAGCTACTAACTCAAAAGAGGGCCACAGGGACTCATTTCTCTTTAATGACTAATGTTAGTCTAGTCCAACATGGCTAGAAACATTCTGTATAATATTTTGATATGGCCAGTTCAGATGTAATACAAAACCATGACTTAGTATTTCATGAACAAACATTGGCAGGCCTAGCCCTCAAGCATGGTTTCCTCCTCTGAAAGTAAAGATTAAAATCTTAAACTTTCAATATATGAGAGTTTTCCATTATATCTAAATGATGGAAAATACGGCTTATCTCAAACTGGTCTGTTAACAAACCAGGACCTGAATTCTGGTTCACTCAAATCATTCAGTTAGAAAAAATAACAGTGCCTCTGAGTTTAGATACAGCAGAATCTGAGAATTATTTAAAACCAGATATGGCAGCTATCTATTTCCTTCCCATGTGTGTGTGGAGAAGGTGGAGAAGCAAGTAAACAAAGCAGGACAAGGCCCCACCACACAGTATGACTGGCTACCAGTGACACAGCTGTGGTTCTCTCCACTACTCAATTTCAATTTTACATGGGTAATGGAAAGCCAAATATCACCCCTCAAGAATTCAGCTTCAAATCAGGGACTGCCAGTTGCCAACTTCAGTCCTGGACCAACAAAAGAAGCACTATCCATCGTGTGTAAATGAACATCCTTTTGATTTCAATGGGATTATGTTAGTTTTAGTAAAATTATGTTACCGTGAACAGGTTGTCTTCTAAAACTTAAAGCAGACTGTAGTGCTTTGGGGAAACCCACAACCCTCTGAATTTGGAGGATAAGAAGCATCCTTGGAGGATGGGAGGAGGATGGAGGCAATTTCAATGGTCTAATGCAGGGGTCTCAAACTCAACTTACCTGGGGGCCGCTGGAAGTAGAGTCTGGGTGACTCTACTTACCTGGCTGGGCCAACTTACCTGGCTGGGCCGCATCAAGCAGTGGTGGTGGGCCGCTCATCCCGCGTCGCTCCCGGAGGCCGGCCCGGGCGCCGCTGGAGCTTTGAAGGCCGCAGGGCCCCTCCCCCGTGCCCCACCTGTCCCAGCAATTGGCCCGCGGGCCGCGAGTTTGAGACCCCTGGTCTAATGCCAATGCACTGGCACAGGAGACGAGGTGGCTGAGGTGCCACTGGGATATGTTACACCCTGACAGTGCCAGATTCCTTCCCTCCTGACAGAACACCCCCTAAACCCCTTCTCTGTGGTGGCTCTGGAAATCTTGCAGAAGCAGCTGGCATGGTTCTTTCCACACTGGATGCAAGAGGGGAGGGCACGTTCAGCAGTAAAGTCCCAACTCCAAGGCTGGAGCTCTTTTAATCTCAAAGCTGGGAACCCAAATGATCATATTGCAGTCTAGATGCTGTCTGGAGGTTGGACGGTGGCTCTGTTATTCCATGAGTGAGCAAAGTCTGAAAAAATACAGGAACCTTGTGCCTCATCAGATGTCCTATACTGGGCGAGACCAGTGGCCTCTCTAGGTCAGCACTGTCTCTTCCAGCCTTTCCCAACCTGGTGTCCTCCAGATGTTTTGAAGTACAAAAGCTCCCTAATGCTCATGGGGGTGAAGTCCAAAACATCTGGAGGGTACCATGTTGGGGAAGATTGCTCTCCTCTGAGTGGCAGTGCCTTTTTAGATATGCATCTTTCCCAGTCCAGCCTGGAAAATGCAGAGAGCTAAACTTGAGAATTGTTCCATGCTGTGCATGTGGCTTCACCCTGACCCTAGTCCCTCCTTCCACCAAGCCCTCCTGCATACAAGTCTTTTCCTAGAGGCTCATGCACACTGCAAATTCTCTGTTGTCACTCCAGTACAACTGAAATAGGCATCCCCCAGTGAGATCTACTGCAGCTACAGGACAATTTATTTGATCACCTTAACTACTGTGATCATTTGGTTGTTTTAAAAAAGGCATAATATCATGACTGTAGGAGGCACATTAAGTAAATGAAAGTAGACACTAGTCCTGCAACGCTAGAAGAGAAACACAAGGATGAATTGGGCCAGAATTAGGCTTTTTTGTTCCTTGCTGATCTAACCATATGCTTTCCCTCCACCTGCCAAAAATGAAAATTTACATATTTGTAGTACATTTAGTTAAAATCCTAAGCATAGCTAGCAGGGCGTAATCCCACTGGATGGGGTAGAACACACTTTAAGTTAACATGAATGGCATGGCACCATTATCATAAGAAAGCAAGAGCAGGAGACCTGCGGCATCAGACCAAGGCCCGTCTTGTCCAGACTTCTGTTCACACAGTGGCTAGCTGGCTCCCTGCTCCTCTAAACACGTGAGCCTCAAAGAACCCAAAGCGACTTTCTTTTGAGTGAATACAGATAGGGCAGCATTATTTAGATAATTTACTTCCTCAAAACTGTAATATTTCTCTCCAACCAGATTACCTCCAAGTGCGTTGAACTACAACTCCCACCAGCTCCAGCCAGCATGGTCCCAGATGATGGGAGTTGTGGTCCAAAGCATCCCGAAGGGCCCTCCTCGAGGGGAGGAGGCTAGATTAAGCTATTTGTGGATAACCGTGTTGGTCTCGTTCCTTTTAAACTCTGTGGCGAAGAGCTCTGTGGAACTCTCAAACCTTTATATTCTCGGCGGAAGCAGTCAAGGCCGGTAGGACGGACTACAATTGCCGGACATTATCATTCCGCCCTCTGCATTACGATGAGACAGGCAGTTTTCTGCTGAAATGCCCTCTGCAAAAGGGCGACCATTACTTGGATGGAGTACGCCGTCCTTTCCACACTTCCCCTAAATACCTTGCTGCGGGAAGCTCCAGCAACCGAACGCCCCGACGGCGCGCGGCCCCAACGCAGCAGGGCAGACCGTCTCCCGCAGGATCCGCTGAGAACTTCGCACTAGCGCGGTAGCCATTCTGCCTCTGGGACGTACCAACACACGCCGCACGAGGAGGGGCGCCAAGTGACCGCCCACAGTGCCATTCGTCCGCCATTCGCGCTCTAGGTTTTGCAGGCAAAGGGAGGGCCGCGCTTTTTCGGCGTGGTCAAACCAGGAATCAGCGAGGCGCCCGGACTCCTCTTTCTCTGCCCCTCCCTGGTGAAAGAGGTGGTACACGCCGAGATGGCGGCGCCCGTGCTCAGGCGAGGGTTGCTGGGCTGGAGCTGGACGGGTGTTCGTGGCTGGGCTGCGGCAGGTGGGTGGACGCTGGGGGCGCGAGGGGCTGTTGTTCAGGGGACCAGTCAGCGCCCAGGGGCCTCTCTTGTGCTCTTCCGTTCTTCGTAGACGAATCATAATGAATGTGCCATTTGGGGTCGCGATATGGTAGTCAGCGCCATTTAGAGTATTGCTGGGCGCGTGTAGGCAGAAGAAAGCCGTCCAATCCCTAACATTCCGGTTGGGGGATGCTGGCAATTGTAGGATCTTTTTCCTGTCTAAACATGCATAGGATCGTGCCTTTTTAATTGAGCCGCGGCGTTTATTTTTGAATTGTCCATGAATAAAATTGGCCGCACGTCCGAATGCATTTTTCTTGTTCAGACATCCCTGTGGAACTCGTGATCGGTCTCGTGAGCTTTCTGTACATCAGCCTACAGTTGGCGAACAAATTCATCAATCGGTTGTCCTGTTTATAGCCATGGTGTTGCCCTGGATTAATTTGTTATCCGAGTTGCAGCTTTTCCTATCCCTGTTGTACATAAGATTTCAGTCCCAGTAACTTTTCCCTGGGATTCCTGTAGCTGCCACTGCTTTCATCCTGGGTGCTTTCAGATGGAGAGCTTCTCTTGAGTGCTTCCAGTCAAAAGCATTGTAGAGCAATCCTGCCTTTTCCCCTTTCAATGTCTTCTCTGGTAAGAAAAAGCATGGAAGAAGCAGTGGGAAAATGCAAGAGAACTACAGATAAAAATGATGATATTCAGAACCCCACTCCTAAAATTCTTATTTCTGCCAGGGTGATTGGAAAAATGGGCCAGTCTGGAGGCACCCCTAGTGATGCAGTTATTCAAGACTAATAATAAGGGGGATGCATAATTCTATCAAACTTGGAAATCTTTTTATTATTGTCTAGAGAAATGGGATTATGAATATGTCTATGGATTGCTATAAAAAAATATGGGGCTGACCCAGCAACTCTGATGTCTCTGATGATTGATGTTTTTTTCAGTTTTTTTTTTAGTTTGTAGAAAATAATAATAAAATTTTCTTTAAAAAAAGACTAATAATAAGGGCCACAGGCAACTTCATCTTTTGTAGGGTTGCCTTATTTATTTCTTGGGGTTTTCAGGGTTAAGCAGATTTGTCAATAACAAATGGTTGTTACCAAATAAGCATATTTTGGCAATTTTATGCATATTAATTTTAAGATCTTGCTTTGTACTAAGTGTATTGAAAAGTACTGTAGTGTAATTTTTTTGGCTATTTTTTCCATTGAGTAGGGTAGTGTAAAATGTCTTAGAGAACCTTAGAATTCTGCTAGTGCTACACTAGGCAGGCAGACACACAGGACTGAATAGAACTCATTTTCCTTTCATGAAGGCGGTTAGGGACTACCTTATACCTGGTTAGATCATTGGTTCATCATTTGGAGTGGCTGTTGTGGACAAGGGGTGGGCTTGAGACCCTCACCTCTAGCGTGCATAGCCAGTTGTGAGGGTTGATGGAAGTTAGAGACCAAAGCATCTGGAGTGCCCTAAGTTGCCCATCCTCTGTCTCTATTTGTTTCTTTTAGCCTTTCCTAACTTGTTGCCCTTCAGATGTGTCAGACCAGGACTTCTCATCAATCCACATGCTGGTTGAGGGGAAGGGAGGTGCGGTTTGATAAATCTGAAGGAACCTGGCTTGGAGAAGCTCATCTACACTGCAGGGTTTCAGGCAAGGCTTTTTCTCATTTCTACTGGGAATTGAAATATGTGCTCTACCACTGAGCAGCCCCTCCTATCCACATGGAAACAACTTGATCCCTACTTGTTATATCCCCAGCACATGGTTCCTTAATGCATATGCCTTCTCCCTCCCTCCCTCCCTCCCTCTCTCTCATGTGCACAATGTGTAGGTCCTTCTCAAGATTTTGTCTGTGTTGCCGTGATATCTTATATTACCAGCACTGAAATTGTAATATATTCTACCTTTACCATATTTGGAAACTAAGATTTTTCTCCTGGGGATTAAAAATCCCGCCTCCCAATTGGGCAATGATGGTAGGGCTTAAATAGCCTGAGCCCTCCTATAAAACAACAGAACAGGCCATGCACTATATCCCTCATTTCAGAGAGGTGTCATTTTGTGGGATAGGAACAGGGCCTTTTCAGGAGTTGCCCAGATTTCATGGTACTCTATTTCATTTAGGTTTACAGATGTCCAAGCTATGGAAAACTTTTGTTTTTAGCAAAGCTAAAACATACTCAAATTTATTATTGAGTGGAGTTTTATTTTTAAAAATGTTAGATGCTTTAAAAGTTGTGTATTGTTGACTTTTCAATGAATCCCTTTGGATATTAATAGGAAAAGAAACATATAAAGAAATCTTGTTAATTTGGAGTAATGTAACTTCATTGCTAATGCCTATGCTATTTTGTGACTTGCAGTGCCTTGCACATTTACAGTGTTGAACATCTTGTCTTCATCAAGTGGCAACAATGCCTGTTAAATCCATTTCAATTCCCAGCTGTAATGCAAGAAAATGTGAAAAAGTCAATGCTGGGAGTGCATACTTCTTTAAGGCACTGTACTACTTCTGGGTTTTTAGCAGAATCCTACGGAGATTTATCCAGTACTTAATGACTGACATCTCAGCTAGGATGCTTTGATTTTATTGGGGCTTAGACTGCAACCCTAAATGGCTCAAGCTAACTGAAGTCCCATTGTTTTCTTTCAGGTTTAATCATGGATAAATGTAACTGACTGGGGCCACCCGATTTTAATTCTTTAGAAGGTGCATGTTGGATCAGAGTTGCTATTTGAAAGGATAATGGTAGTAATGATTCCTGACATGAGAGCTGCTACAGAGCAATTTATTGCATTTAATTTAGAGAACAGGATTTGATCAAATTTTCATTTAGAAAAATGGAAACTTTCTTAGATGATCTTGCTAACACAAATTGACTTTTTTAATTAGGTAAAAGATGTATACTTTCAGCAGCTTATCTGGACAGTACACCATGGGAACAAAGAGAAAAAGAACAGAAGAGCCTAGGTGAGACTTTTTTTTTCTTTGACACTTGGTATTTAAACAATGAGGCACTATTATCTAAACTGGCATTTCTTGATGCTTTACACTAGGCTTTCTTAAAAGCAATGATGGGCTTGACAAACTGCCCTGACATTACAGTCAAGAAAAGTGGCTGTCTTTTGTTGTGGCAAAAGCAAAGAGACATGTAGGGCAAAACTGGACTTTCGGGAGATGGAGAACTTCCACTGGAAATGGCATGTTTGCATCACGCTTTCTTCCTCTTAGCTTGGCTTGCTTTGGACCACTGAGCTGAGCACAAGGGGAAACCCACAAAGCTTGGAGGGATGGATTCCGATAGGATTCATCCCAAGCTGGCACAAGTGATGCATATCTAACTCCCACAGTCCATACATGCAGCATCAACAGAATCTAACACATAACATGTCTCCATGCATTCACACTACTGAAGCGGTAATTGTGGACTGTACTGTGCTACCAAGTTATATTTTAGTTCTCCCTTTTCTTCAAAGATCTCATGGCAGTGTTCATTAAATCCCTCTCCCCATAATAACTTTGTGGGGTAGCTTAGGCTCAGAGAGAGTACCTGGTCAAGAGGTACCCTGTGAGTTCTACAGGTGAACCCTAGAAATCTTTATATCCCCTGCACAAATTTAAGTAGAAAATTAGTCAAATTCCACAGAATGATAAAGGATGATGGATCAAGAATCTTAATTTAATTTTGAAGGAAAAATCAGAGGAAACAAGCACCCATGTCAGGAGTCTAAAACGACTAAGGGTCCAAGAATGGAGTATAAATAAATAACCAGATCATGAATCAAAACACAGCAGTTCTGTTGTAGGCTTAGCTGAAATGTCTGACCCTGTCTTCAAACAGTACCCCTTGTAATATCAGTTACTTTAACACAAGGTGGCACTGTGGTCTTTATGAATGGTGACAGTGCTCACTCAGGGAAAACTCATCATTGCACACATAATGGACTTTTTGTGTAGCAGGGGAAAGTTGAAGTCCTGCATGAAAATTAAATAGGGAAGCAAATGCATCTTGCTCTGCTTTCACGTGTTTTGAAGCAGCCCTATATATATATATTTTAATCTTGGTAGTAAAATTATTATTATTATTATTATTATTATTATTATTATAACATTTCTATGCCGCCCCTTGCCGAAACCTCGGGGCGGCTTACAACATGATAAAATACATTGAAATACAATAGTACATAATAAATTACCATTAAATATAAAAATACAAAAAATACATTGATTTACAAAAATAAAATTAAAATTATCAGTATAAAATAAAAATATAGGAGGAGAAAGAGAAGGAAGAAGAAGTTGCCCTGGCCAGATCGTATGTTTTAACAATTGAAATGATGTTTAAATAAAAAGGTCTTTACCTGGCGCCGAAAAACCAGTAACGACGGTGCCAGGCGGACCTCTTTGGGGAGTGAATTCCATAGGTTGGGCGCCACCGCAGAGAAAGCCCTCCTCCGAGTACTTACTCTCCTAATTTCTTTCATGGAGGGTTCCCGGAGAAGGGACTCTCCCGCCGATCTCAAAGGGCGGTCGGGCATATACGGACATAAAATGTGTATGAAGTGGCCCTTGATGTGGACAAGTTTTCTCTTACACTGTTTAAAGGCCCCAGTAGTCACAGCCAGAACAATGAAACCCTAGATTTTGTCACTCTTTTATAAAACATGGGTTGTGGCTCCGAAACACCTTTGTAATTGCACAACAGATTGATTAATGTAGAGAGAAGTAAGGATTAATAACCATTATGTCCAATAATGCAACTTATATTGTAAATTCGTTTTATATTTTTAATGTATTATATTTTAATGTTTTGTGAGCTGCCCCGAGGCTTCGGTGAATGGGGCGGTGTAGAAATTTTCTAAATAAATAAATAAATTAGAAGGGTTTCCATTAAACCTAAGGGAGAAATCAGGAAAAATATTAAGGAATTAAAAATTGTTAGATTAAAAGATTGGTAAAAGGAAATGAATAATAGTTAGATAAAAGCAGTACTGGTAAAGGAGAATATAATGTGATTCAATTGGCATGCTGGTCTAAATAGATAAAGAAAAAAGGTAAATGCAGAGATTACAAAAGTTTGAAGATATGATTACAGAAAAGAAAAAATGAGAATATGCAGATGAACATGCAGATAGTAAGTAAAATTTATTAGATTTTATTCAAAAAACTATGATTCACTTAAAGCAACATGGGAAATGGATTTGGGAAAAATATTATCAAGAAAGGTTGGAAAAATACCTGGATGAAGAGAATACTAAAATTTATGTCAGTAAGAATTAAGGAAAATTTCTACAAGATTGTATGGAGGTGTCATTTAACCCAAGTGAAGTGAGTACATATTTTCAAATGTGGTGGGAATGTGACTATATAATGAAATTTTAGAAAGAAATTTTTCTAAAATCTCTAAAATCTGAAGAGGCATTCACAGCTGGGAGGGAGTTGTCAAATACTATTGGGTCCAGAGTGGATTTCTTCAAGAGTGGCCATACTACTGCCTTCTTAAGGGTAGCAGGAACCACCCTTTCATCTAAAGATGCACATTCCCCTTGTTGGATCTGTTCAGTCATACCCCCTTGGCTACGAAATGGCTCGAGAGGAAACTTGGGCAGTTGCACTGCTGCAAGTATCTAGTCCTTATCAGTCTGCAGCAACTGACACATCCCACAAAATTGAAGAGGTGGTAGCATAAGACATCTCCCCTGGAGCTACACCAATAGCACGATAAAGCTTGCCATGGAGACCAGCAGTTCTTTCCTCACATTGTGATGCAAGAAGATCACAGCTGGTCCTCAAGGAGTCCACAGCTCTGCCCGTGGGGAGGATCCTGATAACCCACTGAATCATCTGAAAGGGCTCTGCTGGACAGCCACTTATTGGCACAATGGAAGCAGCAAAATAAGCCTCTGTTGCTCTCCACACTGCCACTGGCAGGCACAATTACGTGCTCCAGAGCATACTTGCTCCTGTTTACTTTGAGTTTTATGCCACTTGGCCTCTGGCCGGCATCCAGCCTCTTGGCTTGTTCTACCAAGTGCTGGAGAGGGCACTGTGGTGCCATTGCATCAGTGGCTCTCCTTAAAGAATCAAAATTTACTATTTTACAGTGACCCAGAATGCCATAAGAGAGTTTATTTCTATGCATGTTATAATTTTTCTGCTTTCCCATTGACGGTTTATATTCTTGCAGTGGCTTCCTTCAAACTACTCTTTTGTCCTGATGGTTTTTGTATTGTCCATTAGAAACTAATCCGGTACCACTGATTTATTTCAAGGAGGATACCGAGCAGCTATTTTACAACAACATTTTATTGATTGGTGGGGACCTGAGTGAGATTTAAACCAGCAATTTTCAGGAGGTGAAAAGCTTTATCTCTTGTTACTAGTCCCTTGAGCCATCCGTTTGTAGAAGGCAGGAATTTTAATCTCCACGGGCAGTTTTAAGGTGAATTTTATCAATAGACAATTCTAGATCTCATTATTTTGGAAGGTAATCCTTAGTTGCTGGACAGATGCCACTCTGAATTTACAGTTAGCTAGGATTTTCTTTGGATGATTCATGGTATTTCCATAGTACCATGAGTCATTTGGATTTAGTCTGAGGGCAATATAGAATATACTACATTTTTGTACCATATGAGTACAGTATACAGTTCCAATGCCGGATAAAGATTGGCCACTTTGTCCTGAGCAGTTTCACTTACTTGAAACGATTGATTTCACTACAAACAAAGTTATTGCAGATTTGAACCATCTTTTTATTGGGCAATATAAAACTAACCAATTTCACTGCACTGAACAGCAGAAATCCTTGGGAAATTTATTTCTTATTCATTTGGCTCGTTGTTTTACTTGCTTGCCTAACTGTGGACTAATGTGCAGGTGAGAAAGTAGCTATCCACTAGATTTCACACCACTGGATGTTGCAACTCAGTTCTTGGCAAGAAAGGTTTTTTAACAGAATATGCAGTTTGAGAAACATTGTAAAAAGTTTGCAACTCAGTGCAGAAACTGAGTGGATAAAACATATGAAAGGAACAGAGACTTGAAGTCAGCAGAATTGCCTGTCCCTAAGAACAAAACAAATAAGCCTCAGGATGAATAATACCAGGTGAATAATAATACCTTCTAAGCTAGGCAAGTAGCATGTCATGAAACCGCTGCCCACAGCTATGTTTGGACTTGCAAGTAAAACTGTTTCTCAGCGTATTTGTGTTGGCTAGATTGGCCTTCAGTATTCATGCTGTTTTTGTCTCTTTATTCATGCTACTTATTTTCAACTTTGATTCCATATACCAAAGCCAGTGTGGTATAGTGGTTAAGAGTGTAGGACTGGGACTCAGGAGATCTGGGTTCTAGTCTCCGCTCAGTCCTGGAAGCCAACTGAGTAACTTTGGGCCAGTCACAGACTCTCAGTCCAACCTTCCTCATAGGGTTTTTGTTGTGGGTATAAGATTGAGAGCAGGAGGAGGAAAATGAGGTCAGCAGCTTTGAGTTCTGTATGGAAGTGAAAACAGCTACGATAAAAGACATGTTAAAACCAGCTGGAAGGTATATAAGCACAAGCAAGTTTATATTTTGTGGAGTTCTCTCTAAAGACAGTTGCAGAAGACAGGTGCGTCTACTGAGAAGGCACTGTTTCTATTAGATGGCAATGTAATGTAATGGTAACAGTGCTGGGCTGGGACTTAGGGAATGTTGGTTCAAGTCCCCACTTGGCTTTGGATGACTTTGGGCCAGTTACTGATTTTCAACCTAAACACAAAGGTTGTGCGCATAAAATGGCGAGGCTGAAGATCATGTATGTCACTTTGTCATCCTTGGAGGAAAATAAATGTAATTAAATAAATAAATAGAAATAAATCTTGCTTTCCTAAATGTTGGACCTACTGTCGGTCCCATCATTGGATCTTAAATCTCAGGGGATACATATGGGACAAGATGGTTCCTCTAATAACACCAAATTAGGCTGTTTTTTTTTTTGCCTGATGGCATCTTACCAGCCCGCACCCCCACCTCACCAGCCTGTGACGGTCACCGCAGCCTTTCAGCTGACCCCCTATTCAAAAAGTTTGAGGACCCCTGTTCTAGATGACATACAGCAGTATGTGACAGTGTCATTCTGCAAACAGTGCTAGTGGATCTTTCCACAGAGCAAGTGGCTGTGCATCATGCCAGTAATGTACAACCATGTGCGCAAGTGCAACTGGCTGAAAAGTGTAATGTACAACTAGTTGCACAACTGTACTTCCTCCATTGTGATTTCAGTTGGATTCTCCTCTTGCAAAGAGTTTGAAATCTCGGTTCTGCTGGCACAGTGTCACTTTTGCTAGTGAAATGGCACAGTTGGATTGGCCTAAGGGCTACACAGTAACCTCTAAGCACCATCTTTTAGAACAGTACTTGTGGCACAGTGATCCAAAAAGAGTAGTATCAAAACCTCTTCAGTTACATTCTCCCTTTCCTTTATTTCTCTTGATAAAGATAGTCCATTGGATCACTTTTGTAGAAACTGGAAAATTTGATTCATTCAGAAGGCTGGAATTGCCACACAGCCATTATTCCACCAGCTTGGTTAGTAACTTAGAAACTGGCCTATAATTAGTAAATTCAGATGGATCTAAGGTCTCACAATGGCTTCTTTTGGAAAGAATTGTTTTAATCTTTAAGGAAACAGTCACTTCTAGGCCAGGATACCAGTAACATTAGACTACAGAGTTACCGAGCTGCATAGACATGCTGACATTTAACACCTGATTAGAAGATTGGTGTCCATCCACTTAGGAGTAGAAACATTTTACTTAACACGTGAGTGCAACATGACTGAACAATAACTACAGTTTCAAACATTTAATAACATGCTACGTAATGTATGTGCATTGACTGATTCTAGGAAAAGTCTTGTCTTGTACATAGGAATGTGGCAGATGTATCAAAAGAAGCACCTTTGGAAATAAATTACTTCTTTGAAATAAATTACTCATTTCAAAGATATTTGAAATATTGCTGTCAGACCTGTTAACACTGTCAGTCAATCTGATATCTGTTCCCTGATTGTAGCATTAATTAGCTCTTTTTCTTCTCTTTCTCTTTTTAAATGAGACTTTCACGATGTAGTTGATGGATCTGTGTTAACAGAACACACTAGATAATGGGTCAAAAGATTTCCAAATCTTCCAGCAAAGATTTCCAAACTCTGATTCTTTGACCCAGTTTGCACAGCATGGTAACGGCCCCCTTTAATTTCATTGTGGGATTTCATGAATGGAGCAGGTTGCTGTTCTGCACCACTTGGTTGCTCTCACTTCAAGCAAGCAGCTAAACAGCTCATGGATATGTCCGCCTGGGTTGTTTAGTGCTGTAGACAGACCTTTGGCTTCCCTCTCTGCCTCAACAAGCCCAGGAAAGAATCTGTAGTTTCTTTTAGGTTATTTATGTAGTGTGTAAACTGGGCCCTTGTGAGGCAAAGATGGACAGATCAGTCTATTCTCATTCATTCCAGAGTGCAGAACATGGAATAATGGGCTTAAGTTAAAAGAAACAGGATTTAGAAACCAGGAAGAATTTCTTCACTCTCAGAGCAGTATGACAATGGAACCTATTACCTGGAGAAGTTGCGGGCTCTCCCTTACTAGAGAGATTCAGAACACATCTGGACAGGCATCTGAATGGGATGGTGTAACTTAGTGTCCTGCAATAGCAGGGGGTTGGACTCGATGGCCTCCTGGCCCCTTCCAGCTTAGTATTCACTTACTTATGATTCACTTGTGTTCATTCATAAGTCAGTTCCATCCTGACTGATGATATATCTGAACAATTTTTTACTTTTAAAAAAGCTTTGTATTTTAATGTATTTTTCACAAATGTGTTAGTCTACAAGTTTTACTCTAAAATAAGCATTTTGAATGCATTTTAAGATAAGATATGTATCTTATTTACATTTTGCTACATGTTCTAGTAAGAGAACTGTTTCAGAAAGGATAATTGCATTCCTATCCATGTATTAGTCTGGTAGAGGGAATCAGTTCACTTCAAAATGTGGACTGAGTGAAATCCTTAAGCAATCACAGTACCAAATCAACTAATGTTATGCACAGAAGGTTATTTTGATTAGAAGCCCTGCTATGATTTGCAGTCTAAGAGGGTCTGTAGTTCAGCAACAGTAAAATCTCAGATTCTGCATTTTGCATACATTATGCAAATTAAAACTAGTTTATCCTTCTCATTTGGAAACATACATATTGGACTCTGTAGTCAAGCTAAAACTTGTAGTTGCAGTTGCTATAACTCCATTCTTTGTTTCTCTGGTCCAGGTAACATGGCAGTAGGGGAAGTGTGGTAGGGTAACATTGGTGAGAGGAAGGCAGATGGGCTTCTGCATGCTACATTGCTTTTGTTTCTACTTTCAGCATAGATGGTTTGAGAGTATTGCATTTCCTTTCAAATAAAAGTGCAACTATAAGTGTTTTGCTTGTCTCTTAGCCCAGATTTCAGAATGTCTTTATTTATGTGCATCCCCCCTAACCCCCAGTAACCAAAAATTGGTGAGAAATGAAGGTTTTCATTTTATTTTTACAGCTGAGTTAGCTAGTTGGATGGACAGGATTTATGAAAGGAAGCTTCCAGTCAGCTCTTTAACCGTATCTCAGGTAAGGACAGAAACTTCAGCTTGCCTTTAAAAAAAGCCATCCTTGGACAGGATATGTTTAAGTGGAACATTTTTTCTGTATTGCTGAATGCATGTTGCTGCTTCAGATAGAGCCTGGATTAGCCTATTGCTGAAGGCACAGCGGTAGTCATTTAAAGCCCTGTGCAGATCATTTGAGATGATCTGCCTTGGTATAATTTGCCTTCTCTCTAATCTCTAGTGTCCGGCTTTGTCATTATTTTTTAATCCACATTATTCGTCCCACTACTGAGCTGACCTTCCATGGATATAGCATTAATGCTCTGTAGAACAAGCTGCACTTCCTAATTCCCTCAGGCCTACAGATAAGCGCCAGTGTTCCAACATGTCAATAAACTATGGCTGGCATGAGGGGTCATATGTGTGTCAATATCACATCAAGGCAATCTGCTAAATTGGATTTTTTTCAAGAGGAAAAATGCCTGCGAAAGAATATCACCTTATTGGGCCAGGCATTGCTGCATTGTCCAGATATGAATGCATGAGAATTTTTGTGATTGCTTATTATGTATAGTATCAAAAAGGGGACTAGGCACTGTAGTGTGTATAGTTTAAGAAAAGAGTGGCCTAAGCGAGTGCTTTCTTGCTTGCCTTTCAATCCCAGCCCCTGTCAAGTTACAGTGTGGGAATCTAGTGGAAGAAAGTTCCATAGGTCAACTGAGTAGTGTGTGAAAAAGTGTCTAGTTAAAAAACAAAAAAGAAAAGTGCAGTTTGTTTGCTTGTTTAATTGGGTATTCTCTAATTCTAATATGGTAGTGAGAAAGCAGCTGCTCCCTGCATGACTTCTTCCAGTTCAGTGATAATTATAGATAGTTCGATATACTGCCTTCATGCAGAACTAGACATATGCCCTTAAGCCCCAAAGCTGAGAGGGACAGTTGTTCTTCTGTAATACCCAGAGACTTGAGAGCAGGTGGCCAAGGCCCTGCCCTGGCAGATACTGTGAAATAGGGGCTCACCTGCTTACAGGAGAACATTGGCCAGGAAGAGCTAACAGTGCTGATTTTATTCAAGATCACAGTCTTCTGGGTTCCATTCAGACTGCCTATTTTTCCTGGATAGATCTTGTGAAGTACCATGTATTGGGATCACTGCCTTCCTCATTTCCCGGTGTCCTGGAAAGGGAAGGAAAAGGCCATCACCTTTGGTGAAGGATGATAGAAATTGTAAGCCAAAACATCTAGGGGTTCACAGGTTGTCAAGCTCTGCATTGCAGCCCATCCTTTTTAATCTGAGGAGCAATCCTTGGCATCCAGGCCTTCCATGCGGCAACAGGTATCCTTGGCAAAGAAGGTGGAATATTTTAATCATCATAGTGCTAAGGGATTACAGAAGAAACTATATATGGTGCCTCTTTAAAAGTTCAGAAGCTCTTTAACATTTCAGATCTTTTTTTTTTTAAATATAGGTATTTAGACCCTACCCTGATCCTGGATACTTCAGGATCTTCTAAGTGTCCCAGATTTTCACTCTTGCCTGTATTCGAGAAATGGGTAATGATTCAAACCCTGAAAATGATCCTTCAATACATCAGAAGTAGCCTCAGTAAAAATGAAGCCGCTGGTGATGTCTCATGTACTTGGCATTCATAAATATAACTCTGCCAAGGAAACAATTTTCTGGCAAAACACTGAGTTCTGTAGTTTGTATAAATTATACAAATTAAACACATTTTGTTTATATCAGTTCTTTTGCATAGATTATTTTTATTTTTTCTTGCAGAAAGGTCAAGGGAGTTATGCATGAGTACCCGTTAGTCCCTTCTCAGATTTTGCCAGTGTTTGTTTCTGTATGTTAAGGCCTATTTCCTATTTTCGTAGTCTTGAAAGTATTTTTAAAAGGAAAGGAATGCTGAGTTTCATGCATCTAGAATAATCCTGCCTTCTTGGACTCTTCCAAGTCTACTGTTCTGTGATTCTATGATCTGATTAACTGGCACGTTTTCGGACCTGTTGATTGAACACAAGTGTAATTAGGACACTTGTTGAACTATACCCAGTCCCCCAGTTTTGAACATCCAACTTAAGACCAACCCCTACTTACGAATGAGCAAACGCAGAAGTCCTGCCTCATCCTTGAGTGGTGACTGGGCACCTGAGGGCAGCAGATGGCGAGTGCCAGGTGGCAAAGAGAGGGAAGAAGGGAAAGGGACAGAGGAGGGGAAAAGAAGCAAGTGGCAAAGTTGGAACTAGTTCCGTGGTGATGGTCAAACTATAGTAGTTTTTCATGCTCATGAAAAACTAGCATATCTGCGCCAGTGTGTTTTGGATCACGTGGAGTTAGTGTTGCATTCCGTAACTCTGCATTTTATTTGGTTTGTAACCATGCCTCCAAAGTGTGAGTCCAATGCAAGTCTCTTGCCTCTGGCAGTACAATCAAACCTAGACTCTCCAGCACCAGGTCCATCCTCTCCAACATGTCCCATCCCCATGATCATCCAGTTAATGTCAGGCTTAATGTTAGCTCAAGAAGTGTTAACCTTTGTATTTCTATATAAACTATTTTAAGAACTGTACCATATAGCTGCACACATACATACAAATTCTCGTTTGCGCTCTCTCTCTCCCCACCCCCTCTCCTCCAGTACCTGTGGTTACTTTATTATTACTGTATGATTGTAATTATCAAAATGCGGTATTGTGTTTAAGATGTTTTGATGTATATGGAAATGTTTCTTAAGCGTTATATGGTTTTTATATGCATGATCCATCTTATATACAAATTTGACTTAAAGACAATCTCAGGAATGGACTTCGTTCTTAACATATTCTAAAAAGAAGCTCAGCTTATCCTGATCTGTAGAATGGTCACTTCTTGACTTACAGCAAAACATACAGCTACTGAGTAAATAATTTTAGCAGACTTTAGTTCTGGTGATTTTTTAAAAACATGAATTAAAGCTGTGATTGTTTCATGTAAAACTTCTTGGGCTTTGTTTTGTGTTATGAACTTGTCATCTTAAAGACCTTTACTCTTTTAGTTTATAGACAACATTTCTTCACGGGAGCAAGTGGATCAAGCTGAATATTATCTTTACAAGTAAGCAAACTTTTTGATTTCCTAATTTATATTAATAAGCTAAAAAAAGTCAAGAATATCTCATCCTGCTCCACTTCCAGTCCTTGGCTGGGATCAGTTAAGTGCTGCTTTTGAATTAATGCATATTATCAACCTAGATCAGGGGTCGGCAACCTTAAACACTCAAAGAACCATTTGGACCTGCTTCCCACAGAAAAGAAAACACCGGGAGCCGCAAAACCCTTTTGACATCTTAAATGAAGATTAACACTGCATATATCGTTTTTTACCTTTATGCTATGTATAAAAAACTATAGTGTGTTGCATTTATGAAATCAATGAACTGCTACAGAGAAAACAAATTTTTATTTCTGCATGCAACAAAAACATTTTGAACTCCAAAAAAAAGACTCTGGGTTGAAGGTTACTTTCAAATAAAATACTCAATGTCTATTTGAGTCCTCATATTTATGAAATAAAAAGCCAAACTTAAATTATCCACCTGCAGCAAACCAAACATGCCATCTGCAGCAAACCAAAAATGCCGTCTGCTTCTGTGTGCCCTCATCCTTTTATCACGTGTACTGGAGGGTGCAGTCAGCTGTCAACCTGAATAAAAAAAGGACTAATTGATACTTTCATACAGTAAGTAGAGTTTCTGCGATACAACAAATATAAATAATAGACTGGTGAAATATTGAACAAATATCCCTCTCCCAATGTAATAATGTTGCTGGAATTTTTATAAGAATCTTCTTAAAACAAGGAAGTAGATCTATATCTTCATTATGACTTAGCTGCAGCTCTTGTTCAGTCACTAAAAATGGTTATTTTTAGTCTTATAAACTAGTAGGACTCCTTTCATATATTTTGAATAGGAGAACAGCTTCCTGCAGAGTCAAAGTCAGTTCTAAAGGGCTGCATGCATTAAATAGCAAACCCCATAAGTTTGTCAGCAGTAAAAGCAAATGAATCTACCCACATATCATCAAACGTTCGGTTTTCTTCAGAAACTTTTCTTTGATTTATCCGTGGTTGGCCTAATTTGGGGGGGGGGGCGAGCAGAGGGATTCAAGAGCCACGTGCGGCTCCAGAACCACGGGTTGCCAAACCCTGACCTATTCATTATTGGTGAGCAAGAAAGTCTGGCCATTCTTCTGCCTTCTTCTTCAAAGCAAACCAGGAAAAAGGGTTTCTGGCTAAAAAGCTTTATTACATTATAGCTGACCAGATAGACTGACTTTGTAGTACAGTTTGCAGGAGACAATGACAAAAGAAACAAACAAAGACAATTGGGGAATACAGCACAATGATGATATGTTAATTCCAAACTATAAACCCCTCTTTTTTTTTCCAAACTGGAAGGAGTGAGATACACCTTCATGGTAAGTCCTCCTGTTTCAGGTGAATCACTTGGAGCACCTGATGCTTCTCAGCTGGTCTCCCTGTTAACCTGACACTTTATCCTTGAATTAATAATGTTAGATCTGCCCCATTCTGTATCAGCTTACTTAATAAACTTTCCCACAAAATTTGAAACTGTCTAATTCTAAGTGTCTGCCAGGTTTATTTTTGGCAGTTCAGCTGTGGATTCTGGCCCACCCTCTTCGTCTGAATTAGAATCTGTATCCATGACCTTTGCGGGGTTTTAATAGGAGTGGGCTCAGTCCCTACAAAATGTGCTCACCAATTTTATCCTGCGGAGTACACCCTTTGCTTAAGCATGGACAGCTCTGGGAATCCTATTTCATTTAGGCTTGAAGAAATTTTGAAACATTTTTCTTCTGGTGAGTGACAGCATACTGTAGTAGATTTTTTATTATTTTTGCTGGGAGTCTGGAAAAATATCCTTATTTTGAGAAATGGCAGTCTCAATGGCAGGTTTTTTTGGGGGGGAGGTAGTGTTCAACTACTTACGTGAACCTGAAAGCAAAAGCTTTACCTCATCATAAATGCACATTTTTTGCTCCTGTGACTGCATGTAACTTGCCACAAGTAACAAGTAAAAACATGGAACCATTTAATGCTCCTTGAAAACCTAGAGGCTTCCCTGGATGCCACACTGGCTTCAAGGACAGTGACTGGACTCTCTCTGGAGCAACACTTGAGCCTTGTAGACACTTGGAAACCTGTGAATAGCTTGTTGCTTTTCAGTTTTTAGACCTCTGAACAATGGATATATCCTCAACAGCTGAGGGGGAGGATAGGGAATAACCCCACAGTTGTGTTGGATCTCATTGCTTAGCATCTGGTCAGAAGTTCCTAATTCCACTTTCTGGATGGAGGACTTGGCTCATGGCAAGAATAAGGTTAGCTAAGATTTGTTGAGCACTGTTGGTGGCAGGAGCCAAATCTGGTGTGATGTTCTTTTTTTCGGCTACTTGTACTCCACATAGTGTGCCAACCTGTAAGCTAGTTCAGTGCCAGATACATATGTGACTGGGGTTCTCTCGTGTGATGGTAGAGGGCATGAGTGTGGCCAAATTTGATTAGTGCTGTTCATGTTGTCGTTTCATAACATTTCATCTTGCCCCTTCTGTATTTTATTCTTACAACAACCCTACGAGTTACATAGCAATGGACACAAAATCATGGACACAGCGTGGTTCCTGGCTGAGCTGGGATTCCTGTCTGTCGCCCAGTTGCTACAACACAGTGGATCCTTTTATTGTAGCATGAGCTTTCTAACAACCTTTCATGCCAGTAAGCATGACCTGTCCTCCACAACTCATCTAATCTGCCTTTGGAAGCTGCCAGACTCTTAACCTCAGCGGCCCCTCTGTGGGAGTTCCTGCCAAGGGAAGGCAGGTGGGTGGCTACGAAGAAGAACGCATTTCCCATTATAGAGATGGAATGTACCTCTCAGTGACGCCTGTCTGGCATTGGCATTGTACTCTTTCCAGTGCCAGGTAAAGACCTTATTTTCCTAGGAATTTTAGTTCGTTTTAAATTTTGGGTTATATTTTAATTTTTTGCACTAATGCTAGGTCTTACTCTAGTTCTTTTATACTGTGGTTTTAACTATTTCAGTTTTATCATTTTCTTCATGTTATTTATTTATTATATTTATCCTGCCTTTTTCCTTTTAAGGCACTCACATCATTCTCCTCCTCTCAATCTTATCTTCACAGCGATAGCATGTGAGGTAGGCTGGGCAGAGAATCTGTGACTGGCCCAAAGTCACCTAAGTGAGCTGAGGAGGGGCTGAAACCTTCAGCTAATAGATGGTATAAAAATGAAATTAGTAAATAAATTAAAAAGCTATGATCTAGTGGCCATTGCCGCACCTTGTGGTAGCGAATACCAGAATACCATGCCTCTTGGGGGCCTTCGACTTTTAAATATTTATCTTTTTCAAGGTTGTTTGTTTTGATCCTTCTAAAGTGCTAGAGTACACATCTTTTAAAGCAGCTGATTGTTGTTTTAGTTAAACATGATCTAAGTATCCTGGTATAGGATATGCAGCAGTGCAAGAGTAAGAGAACAATTATTTCCTCTCTCCCCCCCCAAAAAAGAAGGGTGAGGAAAAGGCCAAACCTGTGACCCTGCATAACATCTCCTGTGATTTTTGCTTTGCTAATTAGCAGCCCCAGCTGGCTACTTTGAAGATCAGGCCAGAGTGTGGTATTCAATTAATCTATCTTCCATAAGGGGAAGGGGAGTGATTTGTCCTCCTGCCACAGTCCACCCCCTGCTTCCTAATCTGTTCTAAAAGGTTGGGGGAACTTTGCAAAGCATCTCTGGGAGCTCGTGTGGTTTGCAGTGGGAAAGAGAGAAGGGGAAAGTTAAGAACAGGGACATCTATTTGCATGACAGTGTATTTCACCCCGTGGTCCTCCAGGGTACATTATTTCATTCCATGCACTTTTATCAAAGTAGGTCTCTTTTATTCACTCAGAGGGGGCGAAATTACAAGATCTATAGTAATATTATATCTGGTTTCACACTTACTTGCAATAAATTAAAAAGATACAAATGTAAAAATACAATTTTTGTTTTGAAGAGAAGCGCATATTTTGAAGTTAGTTTCAAAATCTTTAGCGGGGCATTCCAGAAGACTAGGGGATTAGCAAGTTTTCTGTTTGGTCCCAGGTATCTGCCCAATGCAAGCACAGACATGCATCCTCACACGCTAGCAACACCATCTCTTGGCAGCTGTTGGGATCTCAGCACACTCTCATGGCACTGCTGATGCCTGCTGCTGAGCTCTCCTTATTTTCCCCCAAGTAGCACCAGGTGGCTGAGTCTAGGCACACTTTGCATTTCCTGCCATATTGCCAACCTAGTATCACTCTGAGGAACTGCGGGAAATTAAAGGAGCACCCTGACGCTGCCTTCTGGCAGCTGGACCTCTTACAGTCCAGTAAGCCTGCCATTGCCTATTGACAGAGAACCCTTTGCACATGGGCCCCTCAAACCAGGAGCCAGTCCTGCATGTGCGCTTTGATGCACATGAGCTACCTTCCCCAAGCCACGTGTTCAACACATCCATCTGGTTTCTCCCAACATGGATACCAATGTGAGCACAAGCCAAAATCTGTCATTAGATGATGCCTGATGATTGTCACTCTTGTAGGCAGACGAAGGTGCTACAAATGGGAGAGATCAGGTGAAGTGCACCATAATGAGGGAATTCCCTGTGAGACTTTGCCACTGAACATAGAGTGGGAATGGGGATTCAAGAAAACTTTGACCATGACATAGCCGCTATGAATTTCAGGTGGTTGCTGATTCTCCAGCTCTTACTCTTTTAAAAATATCCCCCCTCCCAAAAAATGAGGGCCAGAGCAATAGATCTTGAGGTAGTGGTTCATTCATTGCTTATGCACCACTAGCCAGAAAATCTTTTCTTATTTACCCTTTAAAAAAGAAGCTCTTGTGTTGCCAAATATCCGAGGCTGTGTGAAAGACTAATTTGTATAAAAAATCCAGCACTGGGGAAAGATTGTGATAAACAACTGTGACTTAATCAAAGATTTCAGTATCTTGCTGATTTGGACCTGTGAAGCAGTCTTCAGTCA